GCTTACTACATGTGAAATCTGTGAATGATCACAGAGGTCACATGGTATAGGGCTATTCACAACAGCCCTTGTACCATGTGACAAGCTGTGACCAATCACAGCTCACACATAGTATTTTCTCAGTCTTTATGGGTGTAAAAGCAATTGGTGTAAAAAAAAAAAAAAATCTTCATCACCCCCCACAAGTAGTACAGTGTCACCATGGTGACACTGTACTGCTAGGGTGACAGTATGTAAAAAAAAAAAAAAGTTTAAAATTATAATTTTGTGGGTTTAAAAACTAATTTGGGCAATTTTTTTTTTACTAAAAAGGTAACGGAATAAATTTTGGCCAAGATTAACGATAAAAATATTATTTATTTGCAAAATTTTATAAGAAAACACTTTTTTTTCAAAATTTTTGGATTTTTTTCATTTTTTAAGCAAAAAATTCCCAGCGGTGAATAAATACCACCAAAATAAAGCTTTATCTGTCTCAAAAAAATGCTAAAAAAAACCATATGGGTACAGTGTTGCATGACTGCGCAATTGTCATTCAAAGTGTGATGGCGCTGAAATTGGCCTGGACTGGAAGTGGGGGTGAAAGTGTCCGGACTGGAAGTGGTTAATACGATGAGACTGGACAGGGGTATGTTGGGGGGTGGGTACGGGGATAAAGTTTTATATGAATGATGTAAAACGATTTATGATGGTTTTGTAAGTTTTTTTTTTTTTTTGAAGAAAATTTAATAAATGAAATAATGGAAAAAAAAAAGATGCAACTGAAGGAACATATCCCCATGAATAGTTAGTGTACTGGCAGTAATCCAGATTCCGTGCTATGTTTGGATTATGGACCTTCAAGCATGTGCCAATGTGCGCTCACATGAGCAACCTCTGACCCAACCTTGCCGGTTGTACACTGATGCTCGGTGCATACGGTAGAGTTGATTTACAATTTTCGATGGTGTTAAATTTGGACTGATTTTGATCCAAAATGCTTCTGGGAGAAACGGACCAAAGACTGCTCCAAAGAATGTTTCTGCGTAATATCTGATTTTCCATTACCTGGCCACCTTTAGCTTGACTCGTTGGACCACCAGGTCCCCCACCCTTCCATCTTAGTATCCCAAGTAGAATTTTTAAAGGGAGAAGCCCAGGCTGGTTTTTTTTTTGGCCCCATCATCTCATCAGTTAGGGCTGCCAGGAGCCTCCCAAACCATTCTGCATCATTTTACATCACTTGTTATAAACACTTTTTAGAGCCTTGTCCATATTCCCGTTGACTTCAATGGACTTCCAATGGATTTTGAAGGTATGTAAATGTAACTTTTTAACTGCCACCTCCGTATGTCATACATCGGTCGCAAAGGTGGGAATTACACACACTCCTGGCTAGGTTGCGTGTAAATCTGAAAAGCTGACCTCTTCCATGGATCCCTGAGACAGTGGCTCCCCGGGCCATATTTCCCAGGCTTCACTTATGGGGCCAGGACCCGCATGGCAGGTGTCACTGGGTAGAGGAGAGGGAGACCAGCGAACACTCATTCGCTGATGTCCCCTATCTAGTAAGAACCTGAAAGTGACAAGCATTTTGATGTTTCCAATTTATGCTTTCACTTTCCAGGTAAGAAGCTAATAAAGTCAGCGTTACCTATAATGCTACCACCTCCCCCTCACTCCCCCTCTGTGTTGGGGTCCCTCAAGGCTCCGTCCTCGGGCCCCTTCTCTTCTCCATCTACACCTCCTCCCTTGGCCAACTCATACACTCTCACGTCTTCAACTACCATCTCTATGCCGATGACACACAAATCTTTCTCTCAACCCCCCACCTCACCCCCTCAGTCTCCGCCCAAATCACACACCTACTGAACGACATATCCACTTCCTTAAACTGAACCTCTCCAAAACTGAGCTCCCAGTCTTCCCCCCAGCCCGGTCCCCACCCCCCATTGACTTCTCCATCACGTCCAACAACGCCACCATCAAACCCACCCCACAGGCCAGAGTACTTGGTGTCATTCTGGACTCCAACCTATCCTTCCAGCCCCAAGTCCAATCTTTAACAAACTCATGCAGACCTCTGTGTGAGGTCACGATCATGTGATCACTGATTGGCCATTCAGTGATCACATGAAGAGTAGTAAGCAAGATGTCAATTCTGACATAATTGCTTACTACGTGCGAAATCTGTGAATGATCACAGAGGTCACATGGTACAGGGCTATTCACAACAGCCTTGTACCATGTGACAAGCTGTGACCAATCACAGCTCTCACAGTATTTCTCAATGGCTGCAAGCAGGGGCAGACTGACCATTTGGAAACTTGGCACTGCCCGAGGGCACGGGGTCAGTAGGGGGCCCCATGAGATGCCCCTGGTACCTTTTTCATAGGCTTTGTTGAGTTTGGGAAAGGACACGGGCCCCATGATCCCCTGTTGCCCAGGGGCCCCATGAGTTGTCAGTCCGCCCCTGGCTGCAAGAATGCAGCCAGAGAGAAGGAGAAATGATTGCTTTTACAGCCTTTTATGGGTGTAAAAAAATAAAAAATCTTCATCACCCCCCACAAGTAGTACAGTGTCACCATGGTTACACTGTACTGCTAGGGTGACAGTATGTAAACCCCCCCCCCCCCATAAAAATAATATGAAAAAAATACAAATCTAAAAACAATTTAGAAAAATTATAATTTTTGGTTATAAACTAATTTGGGTTATTTGTATTTTTTTTTACTAAAAAGATAATTGAATAAATTTTGGATAAGATTTATGAAGAAAGATTATTTATTTGCAACATTTTATAAGAAAAACACTTTTTTTTTCCAAAGTTTTTGGACTTTTCTCATTTATATAGCAACAAAAAAATTAAAATCGCAGTGGTGAACAAATACCACCAAAAAAATGCTAAAAAATTCATATGGGTACAGTGTTGCATGACTGCGCAATTGTCATTCAAAGTGTGACAGCTGAAAATTGGCCTGGACTGGAAGGGGGGTGAAAGTGTCCGGACTGGAAAAATGGAAGGGGGGGGGGGAAAGTGTCCGGACTGGAAGGGGGGGGGGGGGGGGGGTGAAAGTGTCCGGACTGGAAGGGGGGGGGGTGAAAGTGTCCGGACTGGAAGGGGGGGTGAAAGTGTCCGGACTGGAAGGGGGGGGGGGAAAGTGTCCGGACTGGAAGGGGGGGGGGAAAGTGTCCGGACTGGAAGGGGGGGGGGGGGGGAAGTGTCCGGACTGGAAGGGGGGGGGGGGGGCGCGAAGTGTCCGGACTGGAAGGGGGGGAAAGTGTCCGGACTGGAAGGGGGGGAAAGTGTCCGGACTGGAAGGGGGGGAAAGTGTCCGGACTGGAAGGGGGGGGAAGTGGGGACTGGGGGGGGGGGGGAAGGGAAAGTGTCCGGACTGGAAGGGGGGGGGGGGGGCGCGAAGTGTCCGGACTGGGGGGGGGGGGGGGTGGGGAAGGGGGGGCGCGCGAAGTGTCCGGACTGGAAGTGGTTAACCGATTGTGTGTCATTCCCTCCCAGTACACAGAACTGTCTACCATTATAAACTCTGCACTTGAAAGCAGTTGAGATAGTCTCAGTGGGAATGTCATCACTCAGCTGACAGCCAGCAGAACTGAGAGAGCGCTATCTGCCGATAAGGGTGCAGCAGACGTCTGGGTAGACTCACTTCTCTGGCTGCAGATGGAGACGTCCGCTAATTTATATTCTAATGTACAATGAACATATCACTCAAAAAGACTGAACCAGGGGCGGACTGACAACTCATGGGGCCCCCGGGCAATAGGGGATCATGGGGCCCCTGTGTCCTTGCCCAAACTCAAAAAAGCCTATGAAAAAGGTACCAGGGGCATCTCATGGGGCCCCTACTGACCCCGGGCCCTCGGGCAGTGCCCGAGTTTCCAAATGGGCAGTCCGCCCCTGTACTGAACATTGCATCAGTACAGCTAAACCCTAACTGGATGGCAGTTATTTTATTTATTATATTTTTATTTATTTCAGGTACTTATATAGCGCCATCAATGTACTCCGCGCTTTACTTATATATTGTACATTCACATCAGTCCCTGACCCTCAAGGGGTGTACAATCTAAGGTCCCTAACCCTCAAGGGGTGTACAATCTAAGGTCCCTAACCCTCAAGGGGCATACAATCGAAGGTCCCTAACCCTCAAGGGGCGTACAATCTAAGGTCCCTAACCCTCAAGGGGCGTACAATCTAAGGTCCCTAACCCTCAAGGGGCGTACAATCTAAGGTCCCTAACCCTCAATCTAAGGTCCCTAACCCTCAAGGGGCGTACAATCTAAGGTCCCCTAACTCACATTTCATACATACACACATACTAGGGACAATTCACCCACCAGCATGTCTTTGGAGTGTGGGAGGAAATCGGAGTACCCAGAGGAAACCCACGCAGGCACAGGGAGAACATGCAAACTCCAGGCAGGTGGTGCCTTGGTTGGAATTCAAACCAACAACCCGAGTACTGCCGGGCATAACTGCTAACCATTTAGCCACTGTGCTGCCCATTTCAGGATGTTTTAGGAGGAGCTCAGACAGTACATATTTCAGGATGTTATACACTGTATTTCCTATAGGTGGGAGCTCAGACAGTACATATTTCAGGATGTTTTAGGAGGAACTCAGACAGTACATATTTCAGGATGTTATACACTGTATTTCCTACAGGAGGGAGCTCAGACAGTACATATTTCAGGATGTTATATACTGTATTTCCTATAGGAAGAGCTCAGACAGTACATATTTCAGGATGTTATATACTGTATTTCCTATAGGAAGAGCTCAGACAGTACATATTTCAGGATGTTATATACTGTATTTCCTATAGGAGGGAGCTCAGACAGTACATATTTCAGGATGTTATATACTGTATTTCCTATAGGAGGGAGCTCAGACGATACCTATTTCAGGCTGTTTTAGAAGGAGCTCAGACAGTACATATTTCAGGATGTTATACACTGTATTTCCTATAGGAGGGAGCTCAGACATTACATATTTCAGGATCAGGGGCGGACTGACCATTCGAGCACTCGGGCACTGCCCGAGGGCCCGGGGTCAGTAGGGGGCCCAATGAAATGCCCCTGGTACCTTTTTCATAGGCTTTTTGAGTTTGGGTAAGGACACGGGGGCCCCATGATCCCCTATTGCCCGGGGGCCCCATGAGTTGTCAGTCCGTCCCTGTTCAGGATGTTATATACTGTATTTCCTATAGGAGGGAGCTCAGATGATACATATTTCAGGATGTTTTAGGAGGAGCTCAGACAGTACAGATTTCAGGATGTTATACACTGTATTTCCTATTGGAAGAGCTCAGACAGTACATATTTCAGGATGTTATACACTGTATTTCCTATAGGAAGAGCTCAGACAGTACATATTTCAGGATGTTATATATAATACACACTCTTGTCTTTTTTTAAATAAAATACAGTTTTTTTAAAAAACAATTTCTCTACCCTACTGCTGCTTTCAGCCACTTCTCAATGCACTCGCTGCAGCATCGGCTGCACATCATAGGTCCGGACCAGCTTCCTCATATCGAAAACGGTGAGCCATGACTGTAATGTGTGTTACACAACCGCTTGTTCTCTCCACTAGGGGGCGCATGTGACAGGGTGGCAACGCAGGAGCACAATTGAGAGACAGGGACAGTGCGTTGTCACCCCTGTAACAGGAGAGGACTGTACAAGGAACTTCAGTGGCAGGATCACCAGGGAATATTCTAATGAAAGCAGGGCCCTCGAACCCCTCGTGTATTGTATTGTTACTGTCTCGTCTCATGTTCTGTCCCCCTTGCTACTGTACAGCGCTGAGCAAACCCTTTGGCGCTAAATAAATACTGTATAATATTAATAATAATATTTAACCCATTGGCGCTGGTTCCTCCCGGCCCTTTAAGGGTTTCAGAAGCCGGGAGGCAGGGTTTTAGGGTCATGTGACCGCCGTGATTCGCTGTCACGGTGGTCACAGGATCAGGAAAGGTCCCGATCGCAAGAGGAGATCGGGACCTTTCCGTGAGTACTGGACAAGAGTGCTGGGAGCGGGCAGGGTGCACGCTCTCAGCACATATGTTTTTCTTAATTGCACGCAAACATGCGGCTGCTCGGTGTCTAGGCCCAGACGCCAGGAGGCCGGACATTTGCGTGCGGCTGGTGCCAAGAGGTTCAAGTGATATTACAGTGTTTAAGGCACTTTCAGCAGTTGAGTTAACCACTTGGGCTAGCCATACAAGCCTACCTCGGTTTACGAACGCCTTGGTTAACGTAAGTAAGGGGCCCCATGAGATGCCCCTGGTACCTTTTTCATAGGCTTTTTTGAGCTTGGACAAGGACACAGGGGCCCCATGATCCCCTTTTGAGGGCCTGGGGTCAGTAGGGGGCTCCATGAGGTGCCCCTGGTACCTTTTTCATAGGCTTTTTTGAGTTTGGGCAAGGACACAGGGGCCCCATGAGTTGTCAGTCCGCCCCTGCATCAGAGGCATTCTCCAGCAGCTGGTGTCTTCGGGTTGAAGGCAAAGTTGAACCTTTTACTTGTAATAAAGTGCAAAATTACAAAAGAGTCCAAAGCAAACACGACAGTCTAGTAGAACTTCAATAAAGCAGTCGACATCCTAAGTCTCTATAGTCCCTACTCCTAACCAGGCTATATGCTGTCCCGGCATACCTGCAAAGGTGGAGTCCATATAATTACAGAGTCCATCAGAGTAGGGGTGGACTGACCATTTGGAAACTCGGGCACTGCCCGAGGGCCCGGGGTCAGTAGGGGGCCCCATGAGATGCCCCTGGTACCTTTTTCATAGGCTTTTTTGAGCTTGGGCAAGGACACAGGGGCCCCATGATCCCCTTTTGAGGGCCTGGGGTCAGTAGGGGGCCCCATGAGATGCCCCTGGTACCTTTTTCATAGGCTTTTTTGAGCTTGGGCAAGGACACAGGGGCCCCATGATCCCCTTTTGAGGGCCTGGGGTCAGTAGGGGGCTCCATGAGATACCCCTGGTAACTTTTTCATAGGCTTTTTTGAGTTTGGGCAAGGACACAGGGGCCCCATGAACCCCTATTGCCCGGGGGCCCCATGAGTTGTCAGTCCACCCCTACATCAGAGGCATTCTCCAGCAGCTGGTGTCTTCGGGTTGAAGGCAAAGTTGAACCTTTTACTTGTATAAAAGTGCAACATTACAAAAGAGTCCAAAGCAAACACGACAGTCTAGTAGAACTTCAATAAAGCAGTCGACATCCTAAGTCTCTATAGTCCCTACTCCTAACCAGGCTATATGCTGCCCCGGCATACCTGCAAAGGTGGAGTCCATGTAACTAGAGTCCATCAGAGGCATTAACCAGCAGCTGGTGTCTTTGGGGTGAACCCCAAGTTCTGACGACTTCACATCCAAGTAGTAAGCGGCATTTTGTACTTCTTCCAGGTGCAGCTCTTCCTTGGAGAACCGGGAACTAGGCTCAGCAGGTCAGAAAAGCTCTAAGGCTTCCCACTGCTTCTTGTCGGGCCCACTGTTCCTTTTTATATGCAGAATGCAGTGGGATTGACCCAGAGATCCCACCAAAAGCTAAAGCACCGGGAAAAGCATTAACCCCTACCGTCCCATCCGGGGCAGCACCTGGGGAGGAAGGATTTGTACTGGGAAGGGTAGCAAATTTATGCTAGGAGAGTGGGATTGGAGGGGACTTGTGATTGGGGGTGATTGGGAGGGGTTGTGCTAGGAGGAGGGATTTGGGTGGGGAGGAAGGATTTGTGCTGGGAAGGGTAATGTGGAAGGAGTTGGCGTAGGGGGAGGGGTTTAGAGGGATTTTTGGAGGAGGGGACTGGAAGGGAATTTGTGCAGGGGGAGGGGATTGGGAGAAAATTTATGCTAGGAGAGTGGGATTGGAGGGGACTAGTGTTTGGGGGGGGGGGGGGTGATTGGGAGGGGTTGTCCTAGGAGGAGGGATTTGGGTGGGGAGGAAGGATTTGTGCTGGGGAAGGGTAATGTGGAAGGAGTTGGCATAGGGGGGGGGGTTTAGAGGGATTTTTGGAGGAGGAGGGGACTGGAAGGGAATTTGTGCAGGGGGAGGGGATTGGGAGCAAATTTATGCTAGGAGAGTGGGATTGGAGGGGACTAGTGTTTGGGGGGGGGGGGGGATTGGGGGTGATTGGGAGGGGTTGTGCTAGGAGGAGGGATTTGGGTGGGGAGGAAGGATTTGTGCTGGGTAGGGTAATGTGGAAGGAGTTGGCGTAGGAGGAGGGGTTTAGAGGGATTTACGTTAGGAGGGGAGATTTGCAGGAGAGAATTTGTGCTAGGGAGGAAAATTTAAGGGGAAAGAGGGATGTGTGATGGGGGGGGGGGGGGGGGGGGTGAAGTAGAGTGACAGGTGAAGTTGCTTTATTTTTTTTTTTGGGGGGGGGGGGGGGGGTGGTTGCAAGTAGCTGGTCTTGCCTGGGGCACCAAACAGTCTAGCACCGGCCTTGCTGAGAGGTCCCTTTATATTGAAATAATTGTACAATTGCACGTGTAGCCCTGTTATGTCCAAACCTGAAACAAGAGTGGAATTTGGCGTGGTGTCCTCTAACAGTTGCGTATTTCACTGTTTCTGTCCTGAACTTGGCTTACGCGTTGCATTTCCTGACAATGAAGGGACAGGAGAGTCTCAGGCTGGGTCTCGGCGGACGTTAATAATGTGAGTGGTGATGGCGCGATGGTGGATGAGGCGATGAGTTTGGACAGCTGTACCCGCACAGGAAGTGGGTGCAGCAACAACACTCTCTACAAATCTGGAGCTCATTTACTTTCCTAAACTCTAAACTGGAATAATAGAGAAGATAATTTCATCACCAAGTGTGTTATTTTTTTTTTTTTTCTCATTTTTTGTGATGAGCCTAGCAGAATTGTCCTGCGCGGCGTTTTATTGGTTTACATAACCCAAGCAGCTTGCCTTAAAACAATGTTGTAATCCCAGGCTGTGTCCGTGATAACTGGGAGCAGTGACTGGAGTTGACGTCAAGTCCCAGGCCGACTTCTCTCCAGTTTATTAAAGTGTTTGTATAGCCAAAGCTTTTTCTCAGTTTTAGCTGGAGTAAGGGCTGGGTAAAATCCTGTAAGGGTGTCTGTGTCCCCTAGGGAGATTTCCCTTCACTTCCTGTCCTGAAGACACAACAGCATACCTGTGAACTTGCCGGCATTCCCTGTTTTTTTGTCCTCCAAGGGAGATTTTCCTTCACTTCCCATCCTGGAGACACTACAGTATACCTGTGAACTTGCCGACATTCCCTGTTTTTGTCCTCCTAGGGAGATTTTCCTTTCACTTCCTGTCCTGGAGACCACAACAGCATACCTGTGAACTTGCCGGCATTTCCTGTTTTTGTCCTCCTAGGGAGATTTCCTTTCACTTCCTGTCCTGGAGACCCAACAGCATACCTGTGAACTTGCCGGCATTTCCTGTTTTTGTCCTCCTAGAGAGATTTTCCTTCACTTCCTGTCCTGGAGACACAACAGCATACCTGTGAACTTGCCCACATTCCCTGTTTTTGTCCTTCTAGGGAGATTTTCCTTCACTTCCCATCCTGGAGACACTACAGTATACCTGTGAACTTGCCCACATTCACTGTTTTTGTCCTCCAAGGGAGATTTTCCTTCACTTTCCATCCTGGAGACACTACAGCATACCTGTGAACTTGCCCACATTCACTGTTTTTGTCCTCCTAGGGAGATTTTCCTTCACTTCCTGTTTTGGAGACCCAACATCATACCTGGGAACTTGCCGACATTCATTGTTTTTGTCCTCCTAGAGAGATTTCCCTTCACTTCCTGTCCTAGAGACACAACATCATACCTGTGAACTTGCTGACAAGCCCTGTTTTTGTTCCTCGAGGGAGATTTTCCTTCACTTCCCATCCTGAAGATGCAACAACATACTTGGAACTTGCCAGCATTTACTGTTTTTGTCCTCCTAGGGCAATTTCCCTTCCCTCCTCATCCTGGAGACGTCATAGCATACCTGTGAACTTGCCCACATTCCCTGTTTTTGTCCTGCTAGGGAGATTTCCCTTCACTTCCTGTCCTGGAGATGCTACAGCATACCTGTGAACTTGCTGACATTCCCTATTTTTGTCCTCCTAGGGAGATTTCCCTTCACTTCCTGTCCTGGAGACGTAGCAGCATACTTGGGAACTTACCGACATTCATTTTTTGTGTCCTCCTAGGGAGATTTCCTTTCACATCCTGTCCTGGAGACACAACAGCATACCTGTGAACTTGCCGCCATTCACTGTTTTTGTCCTCCTAGGGAGATTTTCCTTCACTTCCTGTCTTGGGGACCCAACAGCATACCTGCAAAATTGTCGACATTTACTGTTTGTGTCCTAGGGAGGTTTCCCTTCACTTCCTGTCCTGCAGATGTAACCGCATACTTGGGAACTTGCCGGCATTTACTGTTTTTGTCCTCCTAGGGCAATTTCCCTTCACTTCTCATCCTGGAGGTGTCATAGCATAGCTGTGAACTTGCCTGTCAACAGCATACATGGGAACTTGCCGACATTCACTGGTTTTTGTCCCTGTAGAGAGAATTCCCTTGATCTTCTGTCCTGGAGGCATAACAGCATACTTAGGAACTTGTTGATGTTCACAGCTTGTGTCCTCCTAAGGAGATTTCCCCTCACTTCCTGTCCCGGAGATGTAACTGCATACCTTTAAACTTGCTGGCATTTGGCTGGAAATATCAGCTTCTGGCTTAGAAAAAGAAACTTATGGTTGAATTGCCAGCAAGAAGGACAATTACAATTCACACATTCCTTGGTGATTGGTGTCAGGTGTCCCAAGGTGTGAACAGAAATGTTGGGGTGTCTTCCAAACACTCTAAGCCAGCCTATCTCAACCATTTTAACATGGAGGAACCCTTAAAATAGCTTTCCTGTCTCATGACTGTCAGTGGGAAGAATGCTCCTTACATTGGTGGTCAGTGGGGAAGAATGCTCCTTACATTGGTGGTCAGTGGGAAGAATGTACATTGGGGGTCCCTTACATTGGTGATCAGTGGGAAGAATGCACCTTACATTGGGGGTCAGTGGGAAGAATGTTCCTTACATTGGTGATCAGTGGGAAGAATGCTCCTTACATTGGTGGTCAGTGGGAAGAATGTCCCTTACATTGGTGATCAGTGGGAAGAATGTCCCTTACATTGGGGGTCAGTGGGAAGAATAATCCTTACATTGGGGTCAGTGGGAAGAATGTCCCTTACATTGGTGGTCAGTGGGAAGAATGTCCCTTACATTGGTGATCAGTGGGAAGAATGTCCCTTACATTGGGGGTCAGTGGGAAGAATGTCCCTTACATTGGGGGTCAGTGGGAAGAATGTCCCTTACATTGGGGGTCAGTGGGAAGAATGTCCCTTACATTGGGGGTCAGTGGGAAGAATGCACCTTACATTGGGGGTCAGTGGGAAGAATGCTCCTTACATTGGTGATCAGTGGGAAGAATGTTCCTTACATTGGGGGTCAGTGGGAAGAATGTTCCTTACATTGGGGGTCAGTGGGAAGAATGTTCCTTACATTGGGGGTCAGTGGGAAGAATGTCCCTTACATTGGTGGTCAGTGGGAAGAATGCTCCTTACATTGGGGGTCAGTGGGAAGAATGTCCCTTACATTGGGGGTCAGTGGGAAGAATGTCTCTTACATTGGTGGCCAGTGGGGGAAGAATGCCCCTTACATTGGGGGTCAGTGGAAAGAATGCCCCTTACATTGGGGGTCAGTGGGAAGAATGCACCTTACATTGGGGGTCAGTGGGAAGAATGCCCCTTACATTGGTGATCAGTGGGAAGAATGTCCCTTACATTGGTGCCAGTGGGAAGAATGTCCCTTACATTGGTGATCAGTGGGAAGAATGTCCCTTACATTGGTGGTCAGTGGGAAGAATGTCCCTTACATTGGTGGTCAGTGGGAAGAATGTCCCTTACATTGGTGGTCAGTGGGAAGAATGCTCCTTACATTGGTGGTCAGTGGGAAGAGAATGTCCCTTACATTGGTGGCCAGTGGGAAGAATGCCCCTTACATTGGTGGCCAGTGGGAAGAATGCCCCTTACATTGGTGATCAGTGAGAAGAATGTCCCTTACATTGGTGATCAGTGGGAAGAATGCTCCTTACATTGGTGGTCATTGGTGTGGGAAGAATGTCCCTTACATTGGTGGTCAGTGGGAAAAAATGCTCCTTACCTTGGTGGTCAGTGGGAAGAATGCCCCTTACATTGGTGATCAGTGGGAAGAATGCCCCTTACATTGGTGGCCAGTGGGAAGAATGCCCCTTACATTGGTGGTCAGTGGGAAGAATGCCCCTTACATTGGTGATCAGTGGGAAGAATGCCCCTTACATTGGGGGTCAGTGGGAAGAATGCCCCTTACATTGTTGATCAGTGGGAAGAATGCCCCTTACATTGGTGGTCAGTGGGAAGAATGTCCCTTACATTGGTGGTCAGTGGGAAGAATGTCCCTTACATTGGTGGTCAGTGGGGAAGAATGTCCCTTACATTGGTGGTCTGTGGGAAGAATGTCCCTTACATTGGTGGTCAGTGGGAAGAATGCCCCTTACATTGGGGGTCAGTGGGAAGCATGGGGCCAGGTTTCAAGGTTTCAGTTGCAACCCCTGTAGCTACACCCCTGAACGGTACAATATTCTACATGTAGCCTGGTCTCTAGCACTGGCAGCAGTGAAAAGGCTGCATGGATGGGCTGTCAGCCTACAATGTCTCTGATGCTGCCCCACATATCCTCTATTCTCCACCCTGCTAGAGCTGACAAGGGACACTGAGGACTACAAAAGGACTACAAAGTACAGGGGGACAGGAGAGGCTATAAAAGGTAGACTAAGGCCACTGTCATTACAGGGCATTGTGAGCAGCCCATCTAAGACCCACCTACCACTCAGGGAGCACAGAGGAATGGGATGTGGCCTTCTGTGAATGCTGGGAGGAACTAAGATAGTCATCAGACAGACTGAGCCTGTGTTTCAGATTAGGTGAGGAACTACATATTCCAATATCACTGGGGCTCTGTGGAGGTGAAAAAAGGACTGTTTTCAGGCTCAGGGGAGATGTAATAAGGACATTGTGAAATGCAGCAGGCTGCTTAGAGAATGTTTTCCCCCCACATCACTGTTGCTGACTGGTGACACCACCTGATTGCTGGGGAGAATGCTGCTGTTGCTGACATTAATGAACAACCGACAGTGAATGGAGGGAGGCCACCTGTTATCCAGGAGTTGGTGAGAGGCCGCTGGCCATACCCTGCTACACCCTATTAAAGAGGTATAGAATTGTCCAGTTGGAGTGCAGGTGCCTATACCTGGGTTCGGAGGAACTATATCTTGAATGCTGCAACCCCGGATATGGACCCCAATGTGCTGGCCAGCAAATAAAGGGTTTAATACAGACTAGCAGCATTTCATAGCATTACCCTTCAGGCAGGATCATCCCCAGTATAGAGTTTAAGGGCTCATTCTCTGGTCTATTTGTTCACTACTAACTGTAAACCAAACAGCAAAGCATCAGACTTTACAAAAGGGAACCTAGGTCAAAAAACCAATGCCTATACCTGTTCATAAATCAACACTAGACAGGTCCCAACTGCGACTTACCCACCACAGTAACAGTCTCTTTTAGCTCACTGTTCATTATAGTAGCATTAATGTTCTGTGGAGATAAGTCCTCATGGGGCAAAGCGTTTCTCACTTTGCTTCTTCAGGACTCATAGTGGAAAGTTGCAGTGGTAGCTAATCAAAAAGAAAATCATACTCAAGTTGTGGACCATTTTTGGATTCTGCGTCTTGCAGGAGCAAAGTGGGAAACTCGTTGCCCCAATGAGGACTTATCTCCACAGATCATTCATGCTGCTATAGTGAGCAGTGAGCTAACAGTCTGTTACTGTGCTGGATCAGTCGTAGTTGGTACCTGTCTTGTGTGTATTTATGAATATGTATAGACATTTTTTTTTTAACTATAAGAGGTCTTTATGCGATTTTACCAAATATTTTGTAAATAAATTGTTTATATTTTAAATTTGTGTGTTTCCTTTTTATGCCATTAAAGTCCCATGCTTAACTTTTTAGTTTTGGTTCAGTTGGTTGGTAGTGAACAAATGGACCAGAGAATGACCCCTAAACCCTACACTGGGGATGACCCCGCCTAAAGGTTAATGCTAAGATATTAATCAAGCAGTCTGTAATAAACCCTTTCTCTGCTGGCCAGCACATTGGGGTCCACATCTGGGGGTTGATGCAGTCAAGATATAGTTCCTCCGAACCCAAGTATTGGCACCTGCACTTTGCTCCAAGTGGACAATGATATTCCTCTTTAATAGGGTGTAGCAGGGTATGGCCAGCAACCGCTCACCAACTCCTGGATAACAGCTGGCCTTCGGCAGTCTGTATTAAACTCTTTCTCTGCTGGCCAGAACATTGGGGTCCACATCCGGGGGTTGATGCAGTCAAGATATAGTTCCTCCGAACCCAAGTATAGGCACCTGCTCTGTGCTCCAAGCAGACAATGCTATTCCTCTTTAATAGGGTGTAGCAGGGTATGGCCAGCAGCCTCTTACCAACTCCTAGATAACAGCTGGCCTTCGGCAGTCTGTATTAAACTCTTTCTCTGCTGGCCAGAACATTGGGGTCCACATCCGGGGGTTGATGCAGTCAAGATATAGTTCCTCCGAACCCAAGTATTGGCACCTGCACTTTGCTCCAAGTGGACAATGCTATTCCTCTTTAATAGGGTGTAGCAGGGTATGGCCAGCAACCGCTCACCAACTCCTGGATAACAGCTGGCCTTCGGCAGTCTGTATTAAACTCTTTCTCTGCTGGCCATAACATTGATGCAGTCAAGATATAGTTCCTCCGAACCCAAGTATAGGCACCTGCTCTGTGCTCCAAGCAGACAATGCTATTCCTCTTTAATAGGGTGTAGCAGGGTATGGCCAGCAGCCTCTCACCAACTCCTGGATAACAGCTGGCCTTCGGCAGTCTGTATTAAACCTTTTCTCTGCTGGCCATCACATTGGGGTCCACATTTTTACTTTTGGTTTGGCATACAATATGAATGTGGCACGTGAGTGGCTATGTGGGTAGGGCTGGTGCTAGACTAGTTTGCGTCCTAGGCAAGACCGGCTACTTTCACCTCCCCCCCAAAAAATAAACTTCAAATTAATTTTCCACACAGAACTAATCCTTGCCAATGTTACAGTAAAAACTCAGCCACACATTTTTAATGTCCCTCAAACACAAGTGCCAATAAGAACCAACAGGAAGCATTTCAGTGTGCTGTGATCAGGGATGCTGTTAGAAACCACAGGGCCCCATACAGCCAACCTGATAGGGCCCCCCCCCAAAAAAAAACACAGTTTACTAAGCTTCAGTTATGAATGGACAAAATGAGTGGCTGGTACCAGTCATTCATTGTGTTCATTCAGGAAAGGAGCAGAGGGAAGTTGGCAGCACTGCAGGAGTGGGGGCACAAAGGGGGGCCTCGGCAGCAGAGGGAAATTACTGGAACCGATCCTCTGTATGGCTCTCTCTGCAGCAGAAGAAAGAAAGTAGGAGGGAGAGGAGAAGAAGCCGGCTTTCAGCTGCTGCAGAGAGAGCCATACAGGGGATCGGTTCCAGTAATTGCTTCCCTCCACCATGCCGATCACCCTCCCTGTCCCCAAATCTGATTCACCCAGATGCCTGGGCCCCCCTGCTGGCCTGGGCCCCGTACAGGAGGACTGGTGGTATCCCTATATCCACGGCCCTGGCTGTGATTGTCATGATTTTGGTTGTGATTGTACAGAAGGTGCTGTCTGTCTGTCTGTACCCAGCGTTTTTGCTCTATCTCTGTCTGTGCATCGGGTGCCCATTGCTGCCTGTGCCCCTGGCCACCTCTCTGCTGATTCACCTCCCACCTCCAGGCTACAGCCTCACTTTCCACCCTCCTCAGTGGAGGAAGGGAAAACCACTCCACCAGAGAAAGAATCCCTCCGCCAGTGAAAAGCCGTGAGTAGCTGCCCTGTCCGCCACTGATCAGCATTGCAAAATGCAGACGAAATGAAAAAAAAAAAAGAGTTCCTTGCTTCTCGCCATCGCCCCTCTGGGCTGTACTGCTTTATCGGCGGCTCTGGCTGCACCCTAGGCAGCTGCCTATTTTGCCTAATGGAAAAATTAATCCACATTACTGCAACTGCGCTAAAATCTTCTTTATTATATAGACCACACAAAGATCACATTAAAGATGCAGTAGGTTGACGCGTTTCTGATACACGGCCTTAATCACAACCCATAGTGTAGTATGTGATATAGTGTCACAGCAAAGATGCATTAGGTTGACGTGTTTCAGCTACACAGCTTAATGCAGGCCATAGATGGGTCAAAAATCGGCCGATTTTTCGCATCATCCAAAAAAAAAAATCGGCCGATTTTCGCACCGTTAATGGGTTAATTGGTCAGCCGTTTTTCTGGATTTTGTCAGATTTTTTTGATCGGTAAATTTGGGAAAAAAAAAGAAAGATTTTAGCAGCGATGATGGGCAAATCAGCTGATCTTTTTACCGATAAAAAATCTGCGCATGAGCCGTGACCTGCAAGAAGAAGAAGAAGAAGAAAAATAAGAAGAGAAAGAAGAAGAGAAAGAAGAAGAGAAAGAAGAAGAAGAAAGAAAGAAGAAGAAGAGAAGAGAAAGAAGAAGAAGAGAAAGAAGAAGAAGAGAAAGAAGAAGAAGAAGAAGAGAAAGAGAAAGAAGAAGAAGAAGAGAAAGAA